GAGAAAGCAAATCTATTTTATTCAAATATTCTTTCCATCTAAATGCCCAATGAAGAATTATTAAGTCTAGCATTTCAACTTGGCTAGATCAAATTTATTGCTCAAACTTTATTCCTTATTCTATTGACTACTGACTAAGATTATATCCTGCTTATGAGGACATACTGACTCTTCTGCCTCAAAACTCTCAGCAATCATCATTGTACCTGTATCCTTATACCAGTTGGAAATATCATCATCTTGCTAGCTTATATTGTAAGCATCTTCAATATTAGCATACATCTACTTATACTCATGTTTCTGTATCTGATTTTAAGCATCAAATTCAACTTAATTTTCAGTTTCTTAAGCAAAATAATATCATTGTGAAATCTTACAATTATTTTTCAGCTAATCTTTATCATAATTTTGGGTATCGGCTAGGGACTCAGAATGATTCTACTTTCTTTTAGAACTAGATTCCTAATCAAAGTTAGAGAGTCTAATTTTAAATTCCTCCATTGATATAACCTCTTTATTCACCCCAAATTCTGGAGTCTGCTACAAGAGACTATGACTTGATTCATTCAGCTTTTTTATGGGATTAAGTGATTATTTTTACTTAGAAATAAGGAGTTTACTCTTGGACTGAATGAAGTTGCAGTGTAACTTCAAATTAGCCTTTTGCATTTGGCGATTGTTTCTCAACTTGATTGAGTTTTCTTATTTTAGCAGCTCTCTATTTAAATTTATTGCATAGATGATTACTTGGTTATAGGATTCTTCTGTTTACCCAACTGCCTCAGTTTATCTCTATTAATAAGGTTATAATTCTTTTAGCTTAGAATTTCTTTAACTCCAGTTCTGATTTGCTTGGGTAAAGGTTCTAGACTTGACTAGTTTCTTAGCATTCTACTAGTGCAAATCAGAACTCATAATTTTCATAGATTTCTTTCTTTCTATCTAATTTGCTGGTGGCATAGTGTTCTCCTTATCTCTCATTCCTTTTGCCTTGATAACAGACTATTGCATCATTTTGCCAGATTTTGAGTTCATGAGTAATATATAATAGCTATTAAAATATATATTTAATTTAATGAATCATAATATTTTGATCATTACAAACAGCAGGGGTTTTGGGGTTTTGGGG